TTTTTCTTTCTCCTGCTTTGTGAGAAGCACCTCACTGACAACTGGAAAACAGTGCTGAACTGTGGCTGAAAATCGTATTTTTGGTCCACAGTGAAGTGACTTGCAGAAAATACAGACTTTCTTGTGGGGAAGGACCATTATCACTTTGGAGAGAGGCCACTGCTAAGAAACTCTATCACAAGAACTTGATTAAGGAGAGGAATGAATTGCTCAAGAGATCAAGGAAAAGCAAGCAGACAGAATTTGGGAGCAGATGAATGCGCCACTTCTGCTTTTTGTGCTGTTTTTTGTCCTCTTTGTTGCAGTTCCTCATAGCCAGCCATGTTTAGCAGTCAGTTTGAGGGTCCAGCCAGACAGGTTGTTTACAAGTTGACAACACCGCTGTAGTGATTGTAACATTATGGTCACTCTGGATGTGCTCATGTGGGGAGCAGGAGAAATTGTATTTCTCCAGAAAAAGATGTACCTACAGAGAAAAAATGTTGTAGTGGGAGGAGTGGGGACAGCTGAAGCAGCCTGAAGTTAAAGCTGAGATCATAATTTTCCCTGTAAACATTAGATGGTTTTTTTCCCCTTCCAGAAATACAAAAATATTTTCCCCTCACTTAAATTTGGCAAAGCTTAATGGGAAGGAGGCACTAGTGGACACCATTCTAACCTGGTTGTTCAGGTATCTATCAAATGGCAGATTTTCTCTTGGTGACTGAGAGCAGGAGCTTCAATTAGGATCTCTCCTCATATACCCTGAATACTGTAATTTTGGGCTTTCACAGTAACTGTAGAAAGCACATCCTCATCCACCCAGCTAATAATATTCCAGTGCTAATAATGCTAAGCTCCCTGTGATCCCTTTAAGGAAAGAAAGGCCTTTTTGTTGTTGTTGTTATTTTGGTTTTTGGGGGTTTTTTGGGTTTTTTGGGGTTTTTTTTGGGTTTTTTTTGTTTTTTAAGCAAGCAGGGTGTTTGCACCATTTTTATACACAAGCATGAAGCCAGTGCTTTTGCCCTAGCAATCTGCAAGTATAGCCAGACCCATGATACAAACTTGAGCAGGAAGTGCATACCAGCTGCTGGGTTGAGTCTATGCTACATGGCACAGTTAAGACCAGCTGCAGCCTCTGATGCTCATGGGACTGCTGTCCTGCTGTCTTGCCATGTGGAATTCCACCACACCTTACCCATTTTTTTGTCTGGCACTGTAACCTGCCCTCTGTTTTCACAACTTCTTCTTCTAGTAAAAAAAAAAAAAAAAAAAAGAGCTTCAAAACATTGTAAGTTGAAATAAAGTGTCTCCTCTTTTCTTATTTTGTTTTGCTTGGGAGATGTCTGTGAACCAAAAAATCAGCTCCTGATTTGGCACTGCTGACCTATAGCAGCCTTGTTCCCCACACAAAGGGTCTCTGTGAGACTGTGACTTTGAGAAGTATGAAATTTGTATGGTCAAAATCTGATACAGCTGAGTTTCACAGCCTCATACTATTTTCTACAGATGATAAATGGCTGTTGGTATTTATATACCTAAGGACTTGTACTGACTTTGGAATTTTTTGACAAGAACAATGATAATTTTGTAACAAACCCACTCCTTTTCCTATTGAGAAACAAAATTTTACAAAAGGGTTGCAGAAACATACATAAACAGACATTTTTTCAGGTACAAACTATAAAAGTCCAGTGATTTAAAACCATCTTTTTTCTTCACAGTTTCCCCATGTAAGGGAAGAGCTGGAAAAATAGGAAGGTATCCCTTTAAAATCTCATACTACTGCCTCTGAACATTAACATTACATCCAAAGGCCCTCTGCCTGGTTGATTCAACTGGGATTTTAACAAATGTTCTCTAAGTATTTTAGGTGCTAGCTGTTCTTCTGGGGTAGTCAAACACCCATAAGCATCTGGGTACCTACACACTTACAAACTAGGTTTCCTGAGGACAGAGGTGTCTGGAGATGTTTTGGATGTACAGGAGAATCAAGGGAAATACCTCCTCTTGTTTACTGTAAATTTTGCAGAACTGAAAATAAAGTAATGGGTACAGCTACTGTACCCCAGAGAAAACTGAAGGCCTAAAAAGCTCTGGCATTACAAGTAAAGAATGACTTTTTACTTACTCTCCAGCAGGAAAGCTTCAAAGAGCAGTCCAAAGTGTGTAAGCTAAAGCAGATACATAAAAAGAACAATTATTTTTATCTCCAATGGGGTGGATAATGCCTAAGCCATAAAAATGTTTGCTTAGTAGTGATTTTTAAAATTTTGTTTCTTGGTTATTAGCCCCCCAGTGTCTCTTTGATATACATATATTTAAATATATTATATACATATAGAGGGGTTGAAGAGTGGATACAATCACAGATCTGTGTCCAGCTCTAGTTCTGCATGCAATATTTATGCAGCTTCCTTCGCCATGTGTTTGATTACACAATATTATAGAATATTTTTCATTGCAACATCTCTGTGTGATGTGGAACTAAATAAAGTTCTTTTGCTAGATGGAGACTTGCAATTCACCTTTAAAAGGCTGGACAGTTTAAAAGAACTGGACAGGTACTGTTAAAGCATGTGGTAGAGGAATTTGTGAGTACACTGCCAGCAGAGCAGTCGCTATAGAACTGTTCCACAGGTCTTCAGCTTTCCCCTCCCTGGGGTGAATGTTATGCCCTCTCTGTCTCCATTTCTCCTCTGTGCAACATGGGTGGTAATGACTGTTCTTGCACAGAGACTCTGGCAAGGGCAAGCATTCCATTCTATGTAGTTTTTTCACAGTGCAAATACCAGCCTGGGGATGCTAGCGTAATCTTTTATTTTTTTTGGTGCTGGAGGTCTGGCAACAATAAGCAGCTGGTGAGCTCACTGGTTGTAGTGGACAAACTCTGAAAGGGGAAGCTTGAGGTAGTGTGTGTATAAAACTGTCAAAAGCAGTAGTGCAGACCATGTCATTTAGGATATGCAGGCTCATTATATAGGTCCATGGTCTGTCATTTAGAAACACAGAGAGATCACTGGATTTTCTGCATCCAGAAAACACAAAATTTTTTAGGAAAATCCCATTTGTAGCCACAATCTATCTTGTGCAGATGTTAACACTTCTGAAGCAATTCTTCAAAGACAGATCCTTGGCCAGGCCCCATGGCCAGAAGCAGTATTTTTTCCCAGGCACTGTCCCAGTAAAAGCTCAGGTCCAAAAAAAGCATGCCTGCTGTCTCATAGGAAAGCCTTATATTTTTTTCACAGGTATGAATGCCTGGAAATCTAGTAGGCCAGTAGAGTCAGATCACCTCCACCAGCTTTGCTGCAAAGTAGCTCTGCTGTAAGAGGGTCAGTTCTTCCATTCCCTCACACAACCCTCACACCTCATGCACACTCTTCCATCCTCCTGCATCTGCTCCCCCTAACCGAGCACAATTTTCTGGTTTGGTCTAACAGCAGCAGCTCTCCAACAAACATATTCCAGGCTGTTTTGAAGCCATATTGAATGGAATTCCCATTCTTCCTTAGGGTGCCATTACTTCACCATCAAGTATTATATAAACTTAAAAAATTGAGATGCCTATTATTTGAGATACCTATTCTGCCTTCCCCCCCCCCGCCCCCCCTTTTTTTAATTTCTATGGTAAATCTGTTTTAATTTAGCTCAGGAAATATCAATGGGTGAGCAAATCAAGGCAAACCACAGAATGACAGACTACTTAATCCTAAAGCCATCAGGAGAGGAGTAGACTTTGTCTTCTTCAAACTGCTGTGAATCTTTCTACAGCATCAAGGCTAAGAGCTTTTATTTTATCTTCATCAATTCATCCAGCATCACATAGAAGCTGTTAATTCTTTTTAAGTAATCTGAAAACAAAATGCAATATGGTTTTGGTTTTTTGGGCCTTCTTGTTCAATTTCCTTAGAACTGAAGCCACAATCAGTGGGATCTGGCAACAGAACTGGTCATTTCTGGAAATCCGACTCATGTGATTCTCTGCTGACTGCGGCCTTTGTTTCCCTGCACTGTGGCTGAGTGTCACAGCATCCTGCTCATCGTGAGAAAGGTGTGAGCTCAGCGAGGCCGGCAGTGCGGATGAAGCCGCCGGCCAGGCCCGGCTCTGCCTGCACCGTGCCCCGGGCCTGCTGCGGGCCCGGCTCCTGGGCCTCGGGGGCCTGAGCTCTGCTGCGCAAACGGGCCTTTCTGCCAGGGCCAGCACTGCCCAGGGCCAGCGTGTCTCTGAAGTGAAACGGCCCTAGGCGAGGAAAGAAAGAGAAAAGCGGGGAGATGCGCTTTAGGGGACCTCGGCTGGGACCTCTGGGTCTCCTCTGTGCCAGCAAGTGACCTGCCACCCTGCCCTCACCCTGCGAGCGCCATTCGCAGCCACGGGACGCGCAGGGAGGCAGCTGGCGCCCGTCGGGTGATTTCTGTGTCGGAGCAGGGCCTGAAGGGCCCCGGTTCCAGCTGCAGAGCTCCTCTGCGTCAGGAACTCCACCTTTAAACTCTCCTGCGTCTTGCTGCTTCTCGTACCGATCGTTCCTAGGTTGCCTTGCGGTCGCCCGCCTCTGCTGCGGCGTGTGTAGGGGAGCCAGGGTGATCCCCATCTCCTGGCTCATCCCCACCTGAACATTTCTGTGGTTTGTCATCTGCTCCGGTTCTTCCTGCGGCACCTTTCCCTTGTGATCTCTGGGAACAGAATGAGGTGTGCTGAGTGCTCACATCTGCTATTCTGTGGGGGAGGCGTTCGGGGTCTGGCAGCAGAATGGCAGCTCCCTGCTGTTGGCTCAGGGTGTTTTGGGTTAGGAAAACCAAGGTAATATCTGCAGAAAAACATTTACAATTCAAAGCTTTGTCAACACTGTTTCCTAAATTTGGTGAAGGACTGAAAAAATGGTTAACTTGGAGAGTCATGGACTTTTTATTTGTATTTTGCATTGGAGAAAGATGCTGAAAAAAAACCCCAGAAAACTGTAAACTTTTGAAACATGGAGTATTTAAAAATAATACTGAGTAATAATCACTGAGTGCTTTAGAAAGGTTAATGCTATAATCTGGAAATGCCGTGGAGAGATTGAACGAATTCCATTTTATAACGCTGTGTTATGCTTAGTTGATGACCATGATCAGTCCTCATTTATGGCAGAGCATATAGAGAGAACCAGGAATACACTGCTGCAGTGGTAGACTTCCTTTGTCCTGAAGGTATTCAGGTAAATAGAATGAATAGAGCAGGCTCCAGCTGCATCAAGGCTCTTGACTCTGGCAGAAATGGAAATGTTAAATGAAAGAGAACGAAAAAACAATTATGTTTTTTACAAGGATGGAAATTAGTTAGATTCTTTAAATCCTATTTCCAATCAATAGAAAAAATGTATCCTCCTTTTGTCTCTGGTAGATGAGGTTGGATCAGATCCCCATGAGGCTGTTCCTGATTAATTGCTTCTCAGTTCAGACCTGCACAGGTCTCGAACAGTACAGAGAGGGGTAAATGCAAATAGTTCTGACCCACTGTATTGCTCTGGATGCTGGATGTTGTGGAGGATGGGAAGGATTATGGGTCAGACCACCATGCAGGAGGTACCAGCCAGCCCATTTCTGCAAGGATTTATGTTCCTGCTGCTGCAGAGACAGCTGACTGGACCACTGGAGATCCAGCATGACAGATTTCTGCTTTCTTCACCTCTTTATGAGTCCCAGTTAAACCAGGCAAAATAAATTCCTGGATGTATCCTCTACTCATCTCAGTTCCTGAAATAAAGCAGTCTGTCTACAGAGAGGAGATTAGCAATGCTTTACAATTAATTCCTGTGATAGACTTTTGTATGCCTTATAGCCAGAGAGAGGAAAACACTTAGGGAGAAGGTGATACTTAAAAAGAATTTCAGAGAAAAAGGAGCAAAAAGGTCATAGAAGAACCTCTAGTAAGCAATAAGCTGCAGAAATGCACCAAGAGTGTGAATTCCAAGTTCAATTGCTACTGAAAATATCAGAATAGTTACAAATAGTATTACAAAATTAAGTGTAAAATAATGTCAGAAGTGATTTCCAGATTCATGCTGAAGTCCAGATCTGGGGTCACTTCCACAACCAACTGAGGGTACCAGTAGTTCTTATTGTAGTAGTAATAGTAGTAGTAGTAGTTGCTTCCACAACAGTTTTGAAAAATGGACTGAAACTTTCAGTCTTAAAAAATATTTCTTCAGAAGTCATTGTTAGAGTCATCCTACAGCAAAGTTGCTCTTTACCTTAAAATTATTTCTAATTAAAGACCATAATTTGCCAGAGAGGTCTGTGAAGCTCATGCACATCTGCTGAGCACTAAAGGAAAATTATTCTTTGCTGACTTCAAGGGTCTAGTACAATAAAAATGACAAATTGTATCCTTGGAAAGATTTTTAAAAACTGTAGTGAGAATTGTGATATTCTGTTAGCAGAGTTGTGGGAAATGGAACTTCCACAGATGCTGAAGGGTTCAATCTGAAGCCTTGGAAAGAGCTTGGGTTAATGTCATGATGAAGGTACACAGACATTGGGTAGAGAAATTATAAACTAATATCTCTATAGTTAGAAGTAAGAATATGCCTAGAGTAGGTCAGAAATTATATTAGGTAATAAAATAGTTTGAGGTTTAGGCTGTAATAATGTGTTATAGAGTAGGCTAAGGATCTAGAAGCTGTGATAGAGATGTGTGTAGGAGTACGTGACCTGTCAGCTTACTGGCTAAGAGTCAGACTCACTGCAGCAAAATTATATGCAAAGGTGATAGGTTAAGAAGTAAAACAAGTTTTGTGCCAACTGTCTATTGGACCAAAACCTTATATATTGCTGTGTGAAGAAGGAACCCATGGCTACCTTGAGCTATGGCTGACTTGTTGCTCCTTGAAATCTCATGCCTTGGAGACTGCTATCTTATCTGGCTTGCTTGAGCAATAAATTGTCTCAAAGCCTGGTGGTCCCATGCCTCGTTTTTCATCTCGACACAGAGTCAATCCGAGGGTAAATTACTTTTTAGGTCTTTACTGAACATCAGCTAGTTCTGGATTGTGCTGTTTAGTCAGGACTGGATTGTTTTGACTAGCAGTGAAATCAAAAGGGTCAATATTTTTCTACGCTAATTATCCATCTCTTAGAAGTCTGGTAGCAGAAAGACCAAAGAGAAGCATTCACAAAGCTAAATCATCATTTGAAAAGTATTGAAAGAGACAGAACTTCAAAAATGTTTACCTGATAAAGCCATTTCAGAGTCCAGGTTGCCTTCCTCTATAACACTGTGGATAAACAGTGTAATTCTGTCAATAAAATTTATATATCTACTTGAAGAAAGAGAAATAAGGTTTATTTTATCGATTGTTCCCAGTGATACCTGAAAAAATGCTTCTATTTAACAGGGTGCTGTAACAGCTGCCTGTACTAGCAAGAAGAACATCTGAAAGAGCTTTGATCTCTGGAAATCATATTTTACATTTTCTTATTCAACATAAGACATTTTGTAGTGTCCAAACCTGTGCTAAATGTGATTTCACTAGTGTTCCACATTCCTGTGAAGACTTCAAAAATATTCAACATAAAAGTCCCTTAAGAATGTTTGTTATGAGCAGGAATAAATATTCCAGCTGTATTTCAACCTCATGATGAACTAATCCAAACAGAAAGGTAGAACGTCTGCAGGTGGAATATCAGTTATCAGCTGGTCTAGTTCTATGGCTACTACTCTTTCCAGACAGGTTTAGAAGCAATATTTACCAAAGATTTTAAACCAGAAATAATTCTAATTATTCTCCAGGCAAATGGTAATAGTGAATTACTGTTTCTTTTAGGAACAGCTTTGTTATTTACCTACATTTTTTGTGAAGCATATTCCTCCTGCTTAGAGTGGAAATGCTTAACCACAAGAAAATAAATGCAGCCCAAGCGCAAAATTTATTTGTTCGTGGAGTATATAAATAAAAAACATTATTTTGTATGGTTTGTTACCAAAACTAAATATTAATTATTAAAATGCTATATGACAAAGTAGCAAACGTTGTATCTGTTATTCTGCTAACAGAAATACACAGAACTCATATGAAGAAAAGTGTTCATTAATTAATTAAATTTCTTAGAACAATTATGTCAGAATAAAAAATTCCCTCTTGTTTCATAGTGTTTACTCATAATCCTATTATTTTTGAGTGCTAATTACAGAGATATATGAAACTTGCACCAAATCCTATTTCCATCTCTTAAAGCCTCAAATTAAATAAAAGATTCACCAAATGAAGACATATGACACCTGATCCTAGAAATAAATATTTCCAACAAACAAATCTGATTTTATCTTTCTAGAGTTTTAATAGCTGAAGTAAAAATTTTTCTGTGATTCTAAATTAATATTCACCAGATATGGATACTTTTTCCTTATTGTAAGAATGTCAAAGTGGATTTGTTTCTTTCAGTCCCTAGATTGTTGATATGTTTCCTTTTGTCAGAAAATGCAGAAATGACATGCAAGGGAAGAGGATGCTGTGAAAATCCCTTTGCAGAGCTGACATGCTTGCTGGTGGTGCAGCTCTAATTGAAAAACACCAAGAAGATACTAACAAAATAGCAGATCTTGTAACTTCAAAAACAAAGATTATATTCCAAGAAAAATGTTTCTGTATTTCATATCCAGCTATTTGTTAAATAACTTAATGATAATCAGCACAAAAAAAAAAATAGTTAATAGATTTATACTCTCTGTTATGGTTAATTCTAGAAAATACTGGGAAAAATTTGCTCACTGTCAATCTAGGGAGCAGCCTCAGTCAAAAGCAAGCAGATTCCCAGGCAGCTCTGGCTCATGTACTGTAGCTTGAGCTCAGGTTAAAGCTGGGCACAACAGTGTTTGTAAATGTACAGTCTGCTGGTCACGTAGGAGGCAGTGGCCCCTGCCCCAAAACTAGCCTGCCTTTGCTGGCAGGTTTCCAAACAGCATCCAGCACAGAACGGTCTATGGGTCAGCAGTTTGCTCCCATGAGGGGCATCCTTGCAATTCATCACGCTGTGTTTTGGACAGCTTTTCCTGTCTCCAAACAGTCAAGTGATTCAACCACATGTCCTGTGAGGGTAAGGAGAGAAATATGCCAAGGAAAAACAAAAGCCACTTATGTTCAGGTCAGCCTGCAGTGTTTGGCTGCTAACCAGAAAGTAACTCCTTATGCTGTGTAGTTAAGAATCCCATAAAAAAAATTGATCTTAAACCTGAGTCATAGTGACCAAGCTCATGCTGTCTCATGTAGAGAATCAAAAGTCCCAATAAAAATCAAAGAGCCTATTCTAATTCTCAGAGCTACTCTCCCTATATTAGATTTAGAAACTAAAATCTACATCCTCTCTTATAAGAATTAGGATTAATAGGGAAATCAGCAAAACCTTAAGGTACCCACTGAGTAATCAGAGTAAAACAAAATACTTCTCCTTTGTAGACGTAATGGAAGTTTAAAGAAAAATACTCACTCATTCAGCTATAACACTCCACATGATAGTTTTTCAGCATTGTTGGTATTAAAAGGCTAACAAATTATCACCTGATAGCTGTCAGCAGACCAAGCATTAGTATAAAAGACGTGATGTATCTAATTTACCTTAGATAGAGCGTCTCTGAAGGCTTTGAGGCTTTAGCTCTGTAAATAGCTGAAAAATGTCTGTGGTTTCCAATTTCATTGAACTGGCTGATGGGGGAGACTCAGCTGATGTGATGTTTAACCTTCCTTTCTTAATATTACATCGTGTAATATTGGCTAACTCATCTGTTTCCCAGCTGACTTTTCCAAGTTCCTGGAATGGGGAAGGACATGAAAGTTTGGAGTTTTCGTGTTTTGTTTTGTTCTGATTTTGTTTTGTTTTGTTTTTTATTTGTTTTTTTCTTTTTATCTCCTCAATTTACTGGTTTTTGTGAGCATCTGGCAAAACGTTGGAAGGACAAGGTCTTCGAAAAAAAATTAATGTCTACTCCAGTCTGAATATAAGTCATGTATATGCTTTGTATCTATGTAATAATTCTCTCCAGAGACTTGCAAGGAAACAAAACAAAGTAAAACAGAAGTAGCAAGGAGGGGAAGAGACCTTGAGAGGTCTGTAAGACCAACTTCCTGCTCCAAGCAGGGTCAGGAATGAGATCAGATGTTGTTGCACAAGGCTCTGTCCAGCTAAGGTTTGGAAATCTCCAAGGACAGAGGTGGTTTCTCCTCCCTGTGCTGTGTGTGTCAGGGAAAAAAGCTTATGTTTACCTCCAGCCTCACTGGCCTGGCTCAGCTTGCTGCATGCCAGGGCACAGACCTGCCCCTGGCTCCAGTGCATCACTGCTGGGCTCTGCCTGTCTGGGGCAGGGCTGCCCCTTGCAATCTGACCCCTTTCTCATCCTGTCCCAGCCTCTCCACAGCATGCCCTTGAGCACATTGACTGGTCTGTTCCCATTTGGGGTCATCTGCAGGTGACCAGTGTCAGGAAAATTAATCCACAAACACCAGAGGTTTTTATGTCAAAAAGGAGACAGAGGAGTCCTTTTACCTTATAAAGGGAGAGGCCATGGGGCATTCCCCTGGGGTCTCTCCAATTTTTGGAGGATGCAGCCTCCTTTTTATCCTAAATTCACAGCCACATGTCCTCTCTTTCCCCACTGGCTGAGCTACTTGAGTGGTGCAGACTTCCCGGAATGCCTGATAAAGATTCCCCTCTAATGTACAAGTCTCCCTCTTAAGTTTTAATTCTCATGGAATTTATAGTGTTCCCCCACTGTCTCTTTCATCTTTAAATATCCAGTTTCATTTATCAGCAAACATACAGTTTGTTTGTAAAGGCAAATATCTTTTTTCCATTCATCTGTCAGTGGAATCTTTCCCTATTTTTTTTTTTTCTCTCAGGTAAGACCCACTGCTTGTTTGTAAAGACAAATCCATCATTTCTCTCAGCAGTATTTGCAATGAGTGATTTTAAATTTTTGGAAGGATTTATTGTAATGCAATCAAGACTAAGGAACTTCTTCAAAAATGTGAAATGTAAGGGGAAAAAGAAAAAGAAATTAAAAAGAAAAAGACATAGAAAGAAGGTAAAGCAAATCTCTCCCTTAAATATGTAATTCAGAACCAACTGCCTGTTGACAGCTGTGGTGGTAGACATTTGAAGCTTTGTGTGTTTTGGACAGAATTTAGGCACGTAATCTTGTAAAAAATAAACAAACCAAGAGACCATGCCTCTGCTTTATAAATACATACAAATAACCAAAAGGCAGCTGGGTCATGTTGAATTTCTATATGCTGCAAAAATGGCCACAAAATCTTTGTGAAATTCTGGACATTTTCTTCCTTCTCCTACACAAGAAAATCAAGATGTTATTTTCTAGTTTAAATGCAACATTCTTAACAAGTCTTTCTCCCAATCTGAAAGATGCTATGAAAGGAATTGTAAAAGCTACTCAGAACTTCAGGAGGGCAAAAAAGCAGAAACACTGACAGGTACGGGCAGAAAGGGATCACTAGAAACCTCATGTCCAGCTTCCTGTACAAGGCTGGGTTACCTTCAGCAACAGGTCAAGTTGATGAGGGCCTTATTCAGCCTGGTTTTGAAAGCTCCCAAGGGGGAACATTCCGCTGTCTTTCTTGGCACCGTGCTCCACTGCTTCACCACCCTCAAGGTAAATTATTTTACTTTTGTGTCTAGCCAGAATCTGCTTTACTGCAACTTTTTACAGTTACCTCTGCTGTACACTGCTGAAAAGACTATGGTTTTATCTTCTTGATAATCATCCTTCAGGATTAGCTGGGAAGATGGTAGTCACTACCCTGATGCTCTGGCTCTGTACAGCTCTCATGCAACCTGAGGGTCAGAATGTATTCTAAGGAATGCTGAGCCCAAAGTCCAGATAGCAATGTGCAACCTTGGCTCCAAATACCTATCTGCACTCCTGCTTAGTACCAGCCCTTCACGGGGATAAAGAAAATGCCCATATGTCAAAGCAATGCTGTTCCTTGATGTAAGCAAGGGCAGATCACACCTCCTTGATCTCCTGTGTCAGCATCCCATGTCAGCATGTCAGTGCATGAGAGGCAGCACCTCTGCAAGCAGGGAGAGCTCAGTGCTGGGGCAGAGCAGGGTGTATCGCTTTTGACTTCAGAAAGGGTTTGTTCCTGGGGCAGGATTGCAGCATGTGGAATTTGTTAGTGCTGTATGTCTGTGTCAGCCAAATGCGGCTCAGTAACTCTGTTTTTTGAGTAGCAAGAAGGACAGAAATTCACACATTCACATGCATTTTACATAGCTTTTGCATTTTCCTCAAAGTCTCAAGCATAGACAACATCTAGAGACCTTTGTTTTCATGATCCCTCATACCTATGGCAGGCTTAGGAGTCAGAAGATATCTGCTTTTATTTATCAGCAACTGAATGTCCAAGATCTTGGATGTCTTGCTTCTGCAATGTGCTATCCCTCCTATGCCATGACCCCTTGGGAAGATATCTCATCTGTCACTGTTAGCCCCAGGCATGGAATCAAATAGCTTTTTAGTTGCTTTAACCTTCCAGGTGTGGACATCCACTCAGCCTCTCTGATGTCTGCGTAATGCCATTGCCTATTCAGAAATGATGACTCAAACATGTACAAGTGGTGACCCACCTGTAGATTGTCCTTCCCCATAACTAGCTGCTGGGCCCTGTGTCACAGAGGGCCTGATTTCTGGATCACTGACCAATGGAGGTGGGAGGAGGCAGCTGTCATGAAGAAACTTGGCACTGTGGGCATGGAATTTCTATATTGTCACCAAGAAAATTGAAGAGATTTCCAAATTGCAGGTAACTTTAAACATAAGCTTGACATCCACCTTTCTGCCCCCTCAACAGGCAAGAAAGGGGGCAGCTGAATGCAAGATTTTTACAAGCATAGTCAGCAATCACCTAATGAGACCAGCTTCTGCCTACATGTGTACTGTCAGCCTGGTATTTTAACTTTTTCCTTGGTAAAAATACCATCTTTCAAATCCCGCAGACTCCTCCAGCTCTTTTGCTAAAGGAGATTGGTTAATGAATTCTCTATGGACTTGTAAACATTTCTGCACCTCATTACTAATTCTGGGTAGAAGCCTGCTTGGAGCTTCATTAACAAAGATTATCATTGTGAACCATGACTAACTCATCCCCAAGCACTTCCAGCTCTCACGGTCATGTCTAGGTTTAAAAATAAATGCCAGCTGTCCCTCTTTGCTGGTGCTTGTGTAAAGTACAGTGGCAGCCTGATAAGATTATTGCTGGACTGATCACATGGTTTGTGTCAGAGGTTCCAAAAGGGACTTTATTTTGCTTTATAGATTAGAGAAGAATTTCATGAAAGCTTTGCAGGAAATATAAAATAAAAAGCTTGCCCTAATGCTGCCATGTCATCATGCTGGCAGAAATTAACTTTATGAATTTGTAAAAATGGAGGGACAAAAAAGTTAACAATTATTGATCCACTTGAAACAAGACAGAAACTGTGATTTGTTGGAGCTTGCAATAGTCATTCTTAAGTTTCAGTTTGCAGTAACTATTATCCAAACCAATTTAGAAAAGGAAAACAAAGCTGTTTTTCCTCCCCACCTGCAATGCCATACCCTTGGGGTTTGTTTTTTGCTGTTGTTATTTAAAAGTGCAACTTATATAGCTGCATACAGGTTAGGCCAAGCAGGTTGTACAGTGCTGGTTTAGGCACTGTTCTTCACTGTCTGTAGTTCAAGGACCAATAAATTTGGGTAGAAGGATGATGCTTTAAGTTTTAGCTTTTATATTTTTCAGATCCTGTACTGCACTAGTGCATAACTCTGAACTTCATATAGAGTGTTAGTAAGCTCTCTTCACTCTTTGGTCAGACAAAGTAATCCTTCCAGGCCTGAGAACCAAGGTCACCATCACAGCCTCAGACCCCAAAAAGTATAAACAAAAGTGAATTAGGGGGTTACAAACTGGGAGAATATGACTTCATTACCTGAATTTACTTCTGATATGCAAACAGACCAAACTTTTGTCTGTCTAAAAAACTCGTGACCACAACCCACCTTGGGTGTAGCCTCTGCGATGCATTTGCATCGCACCTGCCCAAGGCGCTTCTGTTGAAGGCTTTTAATACATCCCTACTTTATTCTTTTAACTCTGTTTAGCCTCTGTCCTAGGTAGCCATTCCAAGGCATCAAGAGGTGCCCCACACTCTCTGCAATAGCCCAAATAATACTAACTGAGTTGTTCCTTTTTAAAGTCACTGTGACCAGGCAGACTGCAACCAAGAGGAAATGCAATCTCTGTTTTAAAGAAGTCCATGAGTATATACTCCTAGTAAGTCTTGAGAAAAGCCCTTATTGCTTGAAAAGGTCTTCATATTCAGCTGACAACTCTGAAGAGAAGCATGAGGTTTGAGAGCATTCCTTACTGGCACCAAGGGAAGGGATACTTCCACTCCTGAAGTGGGCGGTAGTGCAGCAGCATGAAATCAAGCCTGGCATTACTTGTAGTAACTTGGTAGAAACAACCTTGGGAAAGAAAAACTTGAGCTCTAAAAGAGGAAACAATGAAAATGTCAAGTTTGAATTTTTGTTTTCAGGATGCAGACAATCTCTGAATGTGTTTGGTTATGCTGAAAGAACATGAAGCCCCTGGGCATGGTTATAATTCATT